TAACATGGAGCACCTGAATTAGTGCATCGAAAACACCAGTGCCTGAGAAAAATGCTCTTGGAGGAGGACGGGAGCAGAAGAAAAACGTCAGGTTTTCTGTGCTCCAACCAAACGGTCACAAGGGACACCACAGCCAGCCTGCAGCCTGTCCTCCACTCAATACCTGCCAACTGACCACACACTGTGGGGAATGAACATGCCTTCATGGTTGACCTTCCAAGAACTCCTGGGATAACTGATGCCATCACAATGCAGATCAGATTCATTGTCCTAGCTATATCCCACAAAGATATCATCACAGCTGGGCAGATGCTTTCACAAGGACAGGACCAGATCAAGCACCATTTGCCACACAGTCCTTTGGTATATAGCCTCCATATACGTATACACAACTTCTCTCAAGTGCCTCACAGGATGTGTAGGAATTGCTATGCAGGATCACACCAGTGATTCTCCTAATCCAGGATCCTCTTTCCAGTAGGGATCAATAGGGACCAGGCAAAGTATAAAGCTGCCATTGAGGATACTTAGTTGTACATAAGGGCAGGAGTTGTAGAATAGCAGTTACATCACATTAGTAGATTGCTAATGGCTTGAGGTGTGTGAGCTGATTAGCCCTTAGACATTTTTATCCTCAAGCAGCAGGTAATGTTTTAATTCTGTTTTTAATGCCTGCTAAGTGACTTGTCTCCATTTAAGGGGAAAAGAAAATCAGAATTATGAATTAAAAGGAAACATAGAGGTGAGCTACAGAAAGCAGAAATGACTCCACAGAAGGGAGTTTCCCCAAAAGCGCAACTGAAAGTGCCACTCAAATGAGGAGAACAGAGGAATGGCAGAAATAGAGACCGGGTCAGAACAGGCTAGGGGAATCGGTTATGAGGCAAATGTGGAGAGCAAGAGCAGGAGGATGGGCGCTCTCCTGAGAACATGAGAAAAAACTGGAGGGGGACAGAAGGACCATTGGGAAAGAAGAAGGAAGATCTTGTGATGAAGGCACGGGTGCAGGGACTCAGGTCTGGATTCAAGGGCAGAAACTGTCTCTTACAACATGCGCTCAGCAATGCAACATGTGAGCTCAGCAGTGCAATACAGCCCAGATCCCTGCTGCCTCTGGGTGCTGCTGCGATACTGGTCACAATGGGACTGAGGAGCAGCAGTTTCAAACCTGCCCAAACCAAGCTACCAAACGGGACATGTCAAAATACACACTTGGCCTTAAACCAACATGAGAGCACAGCCACGTGCTGCATGAACCCAGTCGCATCCCCTGTGGGCATATTAATAAACTCCTCTTCCATGTTCAGCATACTTGAATCCCTCCTCCTGTCACGCTGATCAAAGGCAGAGGCCTGGGTGAATTGCAAGAGTCTCACCTGGGCCACTTGTGTAACTAATTGTGGGAGCAAAGCCCTCAGACCTGAGTCCCCTGAGGCATCCTCAAATGCTTTTAAAGTCTTCACTAAAAATCTGCAGCTGCTTTTTGTTTCATCTCTAAGGAGGGAAGGAGCTAAGGCTCCTAGGACAGATGTGTCTCAGCAAGACTAACAAATGCACTAGCATCCTTAGAGAGGCCCAGGGATGGTAGTGCATTATGACTTTGGTGTGCTAATGCACTGGAAGCCTGGGACCTGGGACTGTGGACACCACCGATCTGACAAGGTGGGAGGCATGAAGCCCAAGGTCTGGATTGCCACAGCACTTTGCATAGAGAGAGGCCATGCCCAGTGATCAGAGGAAAAGGCCGGGTGCTAGGAGCCCAGGGATCTCTTCTTGACTGCACAGGACCTTTTGCAAGTCCTGTAGCCCAGCAACGTCTCAGAGTCTTCCTGCTGCATAATGGAGAAAACATCCACCTGTTTCCAGGGAAAGGAGGTTCATTAGATTAGTGTTTGCAAGGCACTTAAGAAGGCTTGAGAAGGGCAAAGAGCTCCCTTCCTTAAGAAGGGACTTGCATAACAGAGCAAGTTTAACAAAAGAGAGTAGCAAACTACTGTGAAAAACCAATCTGACTCCTGTCCTGCTTGCCAGCTCTCTCAGCTTCAGGGCTTAAAAACCATTTGTTTACTCCTCCAGTCTGAGTCTGCTGAGGAGCCCTGATCTGTGACCCCCATTGACTGGTGCTTGTTGCTATGGGCACCATGTCCGAAACACAGGATGCAGACACTATGGTAGAATCAGGAAAGGCTTGCAGGGGGATGTCTGCTAGACAAACCCATACACTGACAGCAAAGGGACAGTGCTGACAGGACTGCTAGCCCAATTCCTTCTCAGAACTCATCAAAGCTTTCCCAGGCTGTGCAGATTACGCTGCATTTCTATAGAGCTGCCTATGTGAGGATCCCAAAGAGGTTTATATTGAAGACCGCCTTCTCAGAAAGGCAGGGAAGTGTGACCCCATTCCATACCTCTCAGCTTGCAGCAAATCCAGACATTGAAAAAGAGTCATGCCTTCATACTGCATATCCAAGGACCACCCCCCTGCTCCCCCAGCCCTAGCACTGAATTCCTCAGTAACAAAATTGGCATCACATTATGCATGATTATTCAGCTCCATAGCAAAGAGCACCCTCTTGTGATACATCTGTCCACTACACTTTGGGCCTGAAAATGCACCTGGAGTTGCATATTTAAAGGGGACCTGCAGCAAATGAGCCTTGTGCCTCTCAGATGAAGATATATTGATGCCTGGAACATTTATTTTAATCAACCGTATTAAGAAGAATTTGATGCCAGCTCTAGCCTGTTGGCTCTGCTGAAGTAGCTCTGAGGTGTCACATGGTTGAAGCAGCTTCTCTCACTTTGGATGCATGGGAGATGCTAAATGTTAACAAAAACATTCCCTTATCAAAATTTTGTTATAGCCATAATGAACCAGGATAGTTGCCAGCAGGGGCTGTTAGTGTTATCTTTTATTGAACCAACTACATAGTTCTGAAGAACTGCCCTTGACAGGCACTTTGTTCTTAAAAGCTTGTCCCACATTTCTCCAAACTATACAACTGGTCTAATTTAAAGTATCACTAAAAATCCCTTGCTTGTCAAAACAGGCTTTTTTGCCAATTAAGTTAAATTGATGCTAAAAATCTGATGGAAGAATCCCTTCCCAGTCAACTGCTCAACTGTCTACTGAGCTCAATTTCACTAATTCTTCCAGTCACCAGGACTGAGTTTCCTGTATTAAACAGAACATTGCAAAAATTCTCTTGCAGCTCTTTGAAGGCAGGAAAAAAATACCCCCAGTCCCCTTTGGCTGGTCCCCTTGAACTCATCCGGAGTGAGTAATCTCTTCCGTCTCCCCATTTCAAAAGGGCTAATTGAGATACCAGAAGCCAACAGACATCCCACCCTTGTCCAAGCTCTGCTGTCATTTGTTGCTGACTTTGGGTACAAAGGAAGTGCTGCAGGACCAATTCTTCTTGATCTGCAACCAGGGAGGGACATTTTTCTTCTCAGCCTGCAACTGCGATGAGCTTGCAGCTTGAGGTACAGCTTCAAAGACCCTAGCATTCTAGGGCTATACAGGCACCTAGATGCTTCTGCTACTCTCCTGGCTCTTGCCAGCAGAGCTCCCGTAAACGCATTGCTTAGTTCAGGTCCAATATGCACTCAAGACTTCAACAGGTGGCAAATGTGTAAGCCCTGGAGCGTCTTGCATTTGAAAGCCTAATGATTCCAACTATGCAGCTGTCCAATAGAAGATATCCCCCAAAGGAGACTGGCAGGGATTTCTAAGTATCAACTATCAGCAGGATATAGAAATCAAACCAATGCCAACTAAAGTAGGGGCAGCCAACCTGCAGCACAGGTACCAAAAGCAGCTTGGAGAAGTGGCAAAGAGACAGAAAGCAGAGATGGGGAGGGGAAGATGATCAGTAGCACTCGAGTAGGGCACAGGGTTTAAAGTGTGGCACACCTGCCAAAAAGGCAAGCTCCCACTGGCTTAAAGAGCCACTCTGCTCTGGCAAAGATCCACACAAGTGGGTCAGTATCATTATCCAAAAATGTGCTATTCCCTTACCCATTTGTCAGGCAGTCAGACTAACGTGGAAATGTCACAGCCTCCTATCCAAGCTATTTTAGTTGCATTGGACTTTGAACAACCCACAGGGAAAAACCTTTAAACAAGGACAGACTCAGAATTAAATTGATGTCACAGATAGGAAATGTCACATCAACTGCTTTACTCTGTTTCTCCTCCGTTAACAACTGATAGCTTACCCAGCACCTCAGAACACAATGTGCAGGACAGTTCTTGTTCCCAGCTGAGTGCTAGTGACATCAGCTGTTACCATGGAAACAACTCTGATCTAAGAAGGTATATATAAAGCATTTTCAAGTTATCATAGATTTTGTTGCAATGCTATTTGACTTGCAAGCTCCATTATCCAACGATTGTCTTTGGGAATTGAAGTCATAATTCAAGGAAGCTCCTTGGCAGAGTACTAGGATGTAAGAGAGCTCAGTGTCATCAGACCATCTTCAGCCCCTCTGCTTCTCACATTGGGGGAAGGTGTTGGGTAAACCAGCTCTGCCTCTGCTCCTCACACCTGTTACTACTAGACTATATACATTTCTGTTATCAAGCTACTAAGAAGTTCCCTAAAGCTGTTAACAAGGCAGAAGAGCTCTGCCCATTTTTATATTGCAGTGCCCACAAGTGTATCCCTTACCACCACTCATCTCTCTGCCACAGTTAAAGTGCCAAGGAAAATTGTCTCTGCATAACCAGAGGTGGATCATCCACAGCAGGGAAGTCTTGAGGGTCAAGTTTCCACTATCATTGCACACAATGAGCACTTTCTATAGGAGGCAAAGAAAGAAGGGTTTCTTTGGTGGTATCTTTTATTTGACTAAAAGCAACACAACTGGGAAGAAATTAGATGAGCTTTCCAGCTTGGAGGCAACAGGACATATGTCAGTGTAAACTTGTTTTAATGGAGTAGAACCCACAACAGCATATTTCACCCAGCCATCCATAAACAAAAAAGGGGAGAGGATTTTTTTTGAATTATTGGCTTTATTGGTCTAAAAGCACACAGGCCACAGAGCAGGGCAAGGCCCTTCCAGGCATTAGGCTGTCTCTTCTTTAGCAATCCGATCTTTTTTAAGTGGTCCCTGCAAAAAAACCAAACAAACGAATGAACAAGTGATACAAGCAATTACAGTACAGGTCTAACTAGCAGATTTAGCCTCCTGCCCCACCAACGGAGCAACACCGCCTCCCAGAGCAGTGTACTAAGAGACTATGATTTTCTTGTGTTTTGAAGGAAGATAATACTCAAGCCTCTCAGGTGCAACTCTTCGCTTTAAATGCTTGGTTGGAATTTGGAAAAAAAAAAAAAGACAGCTGACAAACTTATGTTGTCATGTGGTAGAACAGTACAATAGCAATTAAATATCTGAAGTCTGGTGCCACCTAGTGGAAGACCTAAACACATTCTGATCAAGTATTAATCAGTTAATAGCTTTTTCCTCATGGGGAGCAGTTTAAGTGTAAAAGGATAGGAATAAGAAATAGATTTCTTCTGCACATTAGTAGAGCATTCAGGAAGGGACTAGAAACCTGCCATTTCTCACCACCAAGGAACTAGACTTTTCAGTACCCTGGGAGGGAAGATGATGTTCTCACAAGGAAGGCAGCATGGCATGTTTCCTCATGGATGTCAGACACCATGTACAGTGCTTGTTCCATGGTCTCATCAATGAACAGTCCACACTAGACACGGGGAGCATTCCCTAAGCCTCACCAACTATAGGCAGTAAGGACTATCTACTTGAAATGAGTGCACAAGCTGCACACTGCTCTTTAACCCTTTGGAACCTCTTGGGAGACCAGTTCATCCTGTCACTGTTCATTTCATAAGACCCTTCAGAAGAAACCCAAGCACTGTCATGTATGGGTACACATGCAACTGGCAGGTAATAGATGTAATGCATAACTGTGGTTTTGTCATTGAGCATACAATATTCTAAGCAAGGTTCTGCACCAGACAGCAATACACAAGGGATGCAACAGAGAACAAACAAGGCTGGCTCTATGATCACTTTGTCCTTACCATGAAGGCCTTCTTCTCCTCAGCAGTCTGGAAGCGGCCATGACCAAATTTGGAAGTTGTGTCAATAAACTTCAAGTCAATCTTCTCCAGGGCCCGACGTTTGGTCTGCACAAGTAGGGACTGTGGGAAAGATGCAAGGTTAGAGAAATGCGGCAGCCCAGTCATGAAGTCTGAAACCACATGCAAACCCCTATGTATTGTGCACGTATGATTTCTCTCAACTAAAATTTTCCACAGGAATCAGATACCTCCCTATAAATTATTACAAAAGAGCCTTGCCTCTCGGCTGCTTTCAGTTTGATACCTGGCTGGCATTTAATTAATATGCTCCTGCCACCCCAGATCAATATCATTCAGCAAGAGGCAAAACAAAATTACTAGCAAGTAATTTCATGGGCCACAAGAGTTCCCAAACTTAATGAGCTTCTTCATAAGAAGCAGCCAACTAACCAGCCAGCTCATCTCATCCCCAGAGCCAAGTGCTCCATAAGGGTCACAATTCCTCAGACCAGTGGATCTGTAAAGGAACAGTTTTAGGTAGTTGGTGTGCCCATTTTAGGCTGCAAGTTGTCTCCAGGCTTTCTTCAGCTGGTTATGCAGCTCTTAAACCATGCTCAAACAAGAAACGGTTATTGTGGTTCCCTGTTCTATCCACAAACTACAAAATTTTGACTTGCTCCTGCTGGAGAGCTCTTCACGGTCTGTATCACTGCTCACCTTACGCAGGGTTAGGACCCTCTTCTTGGTCCCAACAACACAGCCTTTCAGCATGATGAAGTCATTGGTCACTTCTCCATAGTGGACAAAACCTCCCTAAATAAAAAAAAGAGAAGGTCTGTCAGCACACTGTAATGCAGCAAACTGAACTGAAGGGCACCCCTGATATTGGTCTAGGCTGACTCTTGTTGGCTATTTTTTTCCAGCATCCAATGTCCAAGACAGACGTGTCACCCCTCAAAAAAACAACCCAGGAAGACAGGCCTCAAGAGAGGTCTTCAGTAAGAAATCCAGGGCTACACGCGGCATGCAATGCTGCATGCATCAATAGTATTATTTATTGAAGTACCCAAGCCGTTTCATTAAAACAGCTTAGGTACTTCAATGCCTATCTAACCAATCATTAAGCTGCATTTAGCTTATAAGTTCACACTGTATCGTGTTCGCATCCCAATCTAACAGTTGGGAAAACTCACCAGAGGGTTAATGCTCTTGTCAGACAGATCATAATCAGTTGATGCATTGTTTTTGATCAGCTTGCCATCCTTGATCTGGTAACCCTGGCCAATCTTGTAGATCTAAAATGACAGAAGGGAGAATTCCACTTGAAGGGAGCTGAGAGAGATAATGCTGGTGCTTCTCACATATACCCTAAAACTATGGCTCTTATAAAGCCACTGCAGGTTGAACTAGGATAGGACATGCTATTGATCCAAAAAGAAATCCCAAGTATTTATTTCCCAAGCAACATTAGGGCAAATTTTTCTTCCCTGCTTTACAGCATGCTGCACAAAACTATCAGTCTGGTCCCTTCTAGCACTGTGTCCCCAGCAGCACAGGACCATCCAGCACCTGCAAATACAAGCTGCTGGCCCAGGAATACATCCAGGCTAAAAAGCCAGAGCAAGATCCTGTGCAGTAAGCCCAACCTGCCACTGCAGCAACAGGACTATTCTCAAAGGCACCTCAAATGCTCAGTTAGAGACTCTTACCTTCTTATTGATTTCAGTACGGTGGTGGTATCCCTTCTGGCCAGCTCGGGCCACGGAGAAAGCCACACGAGCAGGATGCCAAGCGCCAATACAGGCTACCTTGCGCAGACCCCTGTGAGTCTTGCGGGGCAGTTTTTTGGTGTGCCAACGGCTAGTAACACCTGGAAGAAGTCAGTGTCAGGGCCCTCTTGACTAATGATACAACTCTGCATTGTATTCTGCCCATTATAGAGTATTTGTAATTAACCTGGATACCAGACCATCCACATCCTTTAGATCTGTTCAAGAACTGTATGTTTAAATAACCCCAGGTCAGGATTTCAGAGGTTCGACACATGTGCTGAAGACCCACCAAGAGTTAACCAACTTCCCCAAGCATCTACACAGGCACTGTTCTCAGAAGGAAGGCAGCATGGAATGAATCCTCATAGGTATCAGACGCTGTGGCCAGCATGTATTCCATGACCTCATCACAGAACAAGTGACAGCAACACTGACAATGAGACGCCTTGCTGGCCCCTGTGCATACATGGAGAGACCAAGAGCCCACACTGAACTACAAACCTTCTCTTCACTACACTCTGGATTCTGGTAACATCCGAGAGACAGCTATTCAATTTACCTTTGTACCCTTTGCCCTTGGTGACACCAATGACATCTATCATCTCATCTTGGCCAAAAACAGCTGACACTGGCACCTGCTGTTCTAGCTTCTCTCGAGCCCAGTCCACTTTCTCAGCAACACTGCCACCATTCACTTGGATCTCCATTAGGTGAGACTTCTTCTGACGCAGGGGAAGCAAGCGCATCTGGAAGACAGATTGGGAGAGAATTTGAAACTCATCTCAGCACTTCTTCCCAAAGACAATATTAGCTTTCCTGTAACCAAGACAAAAGCACTGCATCATCTGTTTGCCTTAGAGGACTGTGTTTCCCAAGTCTGACCTTCTGGCATGAAAACAAATGCAAAGGAATGCAACAGTATCAAGCGCTTCCCACTGTCCTTAGACTGTAGTCAAACTACTATTCCAATCAGTCACAATCTTTATGCTCTTTTCCATCTGGGATAAAGGGTATGAAACATGCAAACAGGAGCTACATCTTCATCTTTGCTGTCCACAAAATACCAGCTCTGAAATATTTAGCGTTCTGCTGCAACAAGACATGTTCCATTTGCTGCCATGCAGGAAATCCAGTTACAGTTCCCAGACATGTAGGGGTCCAGTTAAGCGCTCCAATAGAGCAGTGCACTTCACAATCCAGTGACCCTGCTCTGGATGATTACCCACAGCATTTAATGGGCTCTGAAGGGAAGCGTTACATTTGCATAGTCGGTTGTAGTGGCCATTCAATTTGACAGATTTCCCAGGAGGATTAGAGAATTTAATGGCCAGAATACAAAGAAATCCACTACTATTTATAAATTTTCATGTGTGATTACAAGAACCCAGAAGTGGTAACCAAAACAGGCTAAACCCTCGACTTTCCAATCCCAACTCTCATATACAAACCCTAAGCAGTCCAAATTCAGTTCCCGTACCTGTGTAAGCAGTGAATCTGTGCATCTGTACCGGTGTGGAGGGCCAAATATAATAGTGAGCAACAGACTAGGAAGGGGGAATCCAAGGAAAACTGAGCACACTGTGATCACAGTGCCCATAGGTCCCCTCCATATCTCTGTGCATGCACATGCTCTAGGGAGCAGACTTGTCCACTCACCTGTGTGTGAGCTATGACCCGGATAACCTGGCAGTATTTCTTCATGCTACTGAAATCTTTCTCCAGCTGCTTTTTGCCCTCCTCATCCTGCCACTTCTTACAATACTTGGTGAAGGCCTTCTTCTTGGACTTGTGCCTTCAGGAGCAGAGCAGAAACAGGGTTTGGTCCAGCCCTTCATCAATCCCCCCATGGAAGAGGGGTGAGCGGAAGGAGCTGCCACCCAAGTTGGTTTCGGCTCATTGCCAGCTTCTAAGGAATCTTTTCCACTGGCAAGCGGAGCCTGGAGCTCATCAGACAGAGGCAGGGTTGCCAGAACTGAGTGGAGCTGCCATGAATTAATCCAAAGCATGTTAATACAGACAAAACAGAATATTTACAAAATACTGTAAAGTTATAATGGTCACTTTTCAGCTGATAAAAACAATCCTCCCCCAACTCTTTTAAATGCTCTAGCCTGGCTTCATTCTTGGCAATCTATCACCTCCAACCCTAAACTCTGTCTCACTGTAAGAGAACACCACTGTAATACTCAAGAGATCATTAATGCATTCACCTGGCTGCCTTGTCTCAGCACACAAAGTTCAGTAATGTGATCCAGGAAAAAAAAAAAAATCCTTCTTAAACTCACAGGTAAAGAACCTGGAAGACTTGCTGGAACCTTAAGTCACAGCATGCAAACTTGCTTAAACACAAGCCTGCAGCTCTTGCGAGAGCAATCAGAAAAATAAATAAATAAATAAATAAATAAATAAATAAAATCAGCCCCTTTCCCAAAAAGCCAGAACTACACTTAGGATTCAGGCTGACAATCAGCGTCAAGTACATACCAGAGGCAATTTCCTTATGCCAGACAGTTGAGAAGAGATCACCACAGGTAGTCCATTCACACCTGTCTACCAGGGCATTTCCCTTTCCAAACCTTACTATGAACAGCATAACACATTACCTACAACTATACCAGAGCAGTCAACATTTTACTACAGATGAAACTAAACCTTCAGCTCAGAATGTGATGTGGAAGTCATAAAGTGAACCACAATCAGACCAATGAAGCTACAGTACCCTAACACTCCTCCTACAAGTTCAGAAACGAGAGTGGGCTCCACAGGTCTGATGAAGTGTACACCTCCTTGATTCTTACCAGTTCCTGTAGAAGCGACGCTTGCACTCATCACTGATATGCTCAGCAAAGATGGTCTTGAAGGTACGGAGGCCACGAGGAGTCTCCACATAGCCCACGATGCCCACAATTACCATGGGAGGAGTCTCTACTACAGTGACTGCTTCTACCACTTCCTTCTTGTTCACCTCTGTGGGAGACAGATGCAGCATGTCAGTTAGCACCCAAAACAGATACAAGCCTCTTGTGAAACACTTGCCCACACATCATCCAGGGACCCCAAGAAGGTCTTCATCATAAAGCCAGAGTCAGCACACATCCAAAAGGGAAGGGCACTTGCTTAACCCGTGTACAAATGCCAGAGGTATAACCTGTGCACAGATGCTCCACTGAAAACCAGGGCTGACCTAATGACTGAGTGTGAAAGACAAGTTAAATGAACCTTGCAATAACCAATAACAGAGCTACATTCAGGACTCGACATTCAGCAAAAAAATCACCAGGAGCGATTTTTTTTTATGTCCGCCCGTCGAGAAGAGATCATCATACGCAGCCTGTTATGGCACAGTCCATTAATAGCAGACTCCTCTTAAAGTCACTGCACATTCCAGGGACAGCAGTTACCAAAGAACAGGGAATTTTCATCAGCTGGGCACCTGCCAGTGAGAGCTGGCTTTTGTAGCTAGCCACAAAAGAGTCAATGAGTCCATGCTAAGGACAGCAAGGGACTACAAGTCAGGCTGGGACTTATCCCTAAAAACACCTGAGGAACCAAATTTCAATCCCTCACTTCAGTAGAGAATGGAAACCTGTAAAACAGCTTCTTAGGCCAGAGAAATACATACTGGATCCAGGCCTGTCAACTTCCCGGACAATGTGGGTCATGCCAGCCTTGTAGCCAAGAAATGCAGTGAGGTGGACAGGCTTGTTGGGGTCATCCTTGGGAAAGCTCTTCACTTTGCCCCGATGTCTACGGCTGCGCTTGCGTGGCAGGAAGCCCAGAGATCCATGTCTGGGAGCTGAGAACTTGCGGTGGGACTAGGGGGTGAGAAGAAGAGACATTTATAATACCCATTTTCTTTGGCTGTCTAATATGGGCCTAACTGCATGTCATGCAATCTCCCTTGCTGCCTTTTAGGCAGCTACTGCACTAATACCAAGGGTGCTCCTTTCACAAAGTTCCTTTCCTTAACAGATGATCAGGACTCATAGTAGAGATGATATATTTTATCAGACCAACAAAATTTTTGCAAAAAAAACAACCACAAAACTCTTTAATTGCACGCTTTTGGGCACAAAAAAATCTTGCAATTAAAAGAATTTATTAGACCAACAAGATTTTTTGCAAAAGATGGTATATCTCTACTACGAGTCCTGATTGCCTTTTCCTCTAGACCAATACAGCTATAACCTGGATACCTTTCCTTAACAGCAACTGTGGAGATCTGAAGCATATCCCTGGTGAAAACTTCCCTTGTGTGCCTAGATATAGACACACAGACCTCTTGTAATGATTCCCACTGATCAATATAGTTCTCTGAAAAAACAGAAGCAACCACTAACAACAGAAGCTACATTTAATTTTGTCTCAAACATTTTGTGGCAAAATGGGACTGATTTGCAAAAAGGCCTCTCCCCTTGCTTGGCAGCTTAGTGCATGCACCCCAACAGCCAGGAGTAAAGTTGGGTTACAGAGAATGACTGCCGCCAAAAACTGGAGGCCTGTGACCCAGCCATGCTGGTATTCACACTGCACAATAAGCAGTTCTAGGTGTTTGAAGGGAGGTACATGATGAGCTATTACATACTTTCCTAGTCCATAGCCGTCTACCTAACGTAACTGAAGTTCCCCAACCTTCCCAAGTCATCTCATCCCCTTAAATTTGATACGCTTCTGAGTTAAGCATCTCGGGGCCACAAATGATGTAGATCACATTAGACCTGCAACTGTTTATAGGGTTCTAACTTCCTGCTTTTAAAGGCCGAGTCACCCCTAGGTTTTTATGACTCAAAAGAAACACTCTGCAGGGTCACACCCTGCTTACATCCATGAGACCCCCAACTCTGCAACCTGGGCATCTGAAACACTGTCACAGGCATAGCCACCACGATCCTTACAACCGCGTGCACTTCAGCCACTCTCCCACTTTGCAGAGAGAAAAAGACTGCAACATTCAGCTGGGCAGAGGGAACAAAAAACCCCTAAAAAAAATTCAGCAGCC